TATCTAAGCTTGTTGGTTGGAATTGTGCTGTGATAAGAGCCCATCCTCCTACTTTCTATCATAAAATTTTAGCCTGTTTCATAACTTCTTCGGTGAGTTACAAAATTACAAGCATAAAAATTCCAATTTTTGCTTTTTAGGATCGCATCTAAATCTGCGAGAGTCGCATCAAATTTTTTCGAGCCCACTGCTCCCCAATGGCTGAAAGTTTTTTTGGATAGCATGGGCACTATGCTACACAGCCTATTCATAACAGCCTCTCAGTCTTTCTCTGACCTTTGTTACAAATTTTCAAGTAACGTGCTCATGCACGTTTTTGACATCGTTCTAGAAGGCGCTAGGACGGTTTCTTTTCGCAGGAGAATCTGCGCAGTAGGTAGGAAGTAAGCTTTTAATTCGAAAACATTTTTAAGTTCTAAAGATATCGCTTTTTTCTCCCAGCAAAAAAACATTGTCGCGTACGGGGATAGAACGCGGGACTGTCATTATGGTCAAAAACGTTCTATTGTTCAATTGTTTCAAGCCGTAACAGGTTTTTGAAGGAACACTTTATTTACTGCCCAACGTTTAGGCCGAATGCCGTCTTCAGGGGCCTGAAAGCGAGTCAATCACTCTTTAACCAAACGATCTAGACCACCAGACACTTCCTCCAAACCGTACACTTGACTCATCTATTGTGACGCAGATAAGTTCTCAAGTTGAAAAGCTTACCAAGTGTTCCTGGTGAGGAGCGTAAGGGTGTTAGTTCTCTCTCACGGTCGCCCACAGCAGATGGTGACAAAATGAGCGGTCCGAATAAGTACGACACGCTTAAATAGTGTAGGCTACTCATAGCTCGCAAAATGGTAGAAACGGCTTCAGATTACTGGTGATAGACAAATGTTCGTTCTTGCTGTTCATTTTACGATTACGAGCAAGTATGAATGAAGCCTCTAACGCTTTTCGAGCAGCAATATGTTCTTCGACAGCCAAAATGCAACACTGGATTTCAAAATCATCTCCTCCATGGTCCTCTTTCCTGTGCTTTCCAAGAGGGCTTACGAGACTTTGTCTTCTCTTACTCGTCAGATGTTCGCTGACACGTACATGAAATGGTCGACCAGTTTCGCCTATGTAAATGGCATGGCATATCTTACATTCTAGCTGGTATATCACTCCGCACTTCGAACGTCTCCTAACCTCTCATCTGCGCAAACAACGCAGTTCTGCATTACGCATTGTCTGTCATACAATCTATTGCGGACCAGTTGCTTTTTGATGTTGTCTTGGGGTATGTTCATTAGAAGAACATCATCCGCCAATTGCGCTTGTATTAGACATTGCTTAAAAGCGTTGCTTATTCTATCGGACACGAAGGTAAGCATAGCGATATACGTGATCGAGTCTGACTGCTAGCGTTCGCGCATGTTCTCTTGCGAGATCTGGACTGCAGTTGGTAACCATTCTTAGCAACTATCTCGTATGCCATTCGTAGATTCCAGTCTTTCAACTTCACTGCTGCTAACATCGCGCGCTGTTTTAAACATATTGCGAATAATCGCTCGTTTTACAGCATATGGATGCGCAGATGTGGCATGCAGAATTATATTCTTAGAACTCTCCTTCCGATACCATTTGACGTGCTTTATGAGCAAAATAGAGGAGCCGGTATTATTGCGATGTCCCCTGATGTACTGCCGTTACATCGATGATTGTTACATTGCTACTGCAACTCAATCCGAAATGGATGAGTGCTTCAGAATTCTCAATGAACAATCGCGGTACATCAGCTTGACAAGATGGAGACCACACGATGGCTGGCTACCATATCTAAATACACAGGTGATGTTGGAAAACGGAGCAGCACACGTCAAATGGTATCGGAAGGAGAGTTCTAAAATATAATTCTGCATGCCACATCTGCGCATCCATCTGCTGTAAAACGAGCGATTATTCGCAATATGTTTAAAACAGCGCGCGATGTTTGCAGCGGTGAAGTTGAAAGACTGGAATCTACGAATGGCATACGAGATAGTTGCTAAGAATGGTTACCAACTGCAGTCCAGATCTCGCAAGACAACATGCGCGAACGCTAGCAGTCAGACTCGATCACGTATATCGCTATGCTTACCGTTCGTGTCCGATAGAATAAGCAACGCTTTTATGCAATGTCTAATACAAGCGCAATTGGCGGATGATGTTCTTCTAATGAACATACCCCAAGACAACATCAAAAAGCAACTGGTCCGCAATAGATTGTATGACAGACAATGCGTAATGCAGAACCGCGTTGTTTGCACAAATGAGAGGTTAGGAGACTGTTCGAAGTGCTGAGTGATTTACCAGCTAGAATGTAAGATATGCCATGCCATTTCATAGGCGAAACTGGTCGACCACTTCATGTACGTGTCAGCGAACATCTGGCGAGTAAGAGAAGACAAAGTCTCGTAAGCCCTCTTGGAAAGCACAGGAAAGAGGACCATGGAGGAGATGATTTTGAAATCCAGTGTTGCATTTTGGCTGTCGAAGAACATATTGCTGCTCGAAAAGCGTTAGAGGCTTCATTCATACTTGCTCGTAATCGTAAAATGAACAGCAAGAACGAACATTTGTCTATCACTAGTGATCTGAAGCCGTTTTTACCATTTTGCGAGCTGTGAGTAGCCTACACTATATAAGCGTGTCGTACTTTATCGGACCGCTCATTTTGTCACCATCTGCTGTGGGCGACCGTGAGAGAGAACTAACACCCTTACGCTCCTCACCAGGAACACTTGGTAAGCTGTTCAACTTGAGAACTTATCTGCGTCACAATAGATGAGTCAAGTGTACGGTTTGGAGGAAGTGTCTGGTGGTCTAGATCGTTTGGTTAAAGAGTGATTGAACCGCTTTCAGGCCCCTGAAGACTGCATTCAGCCGAAACGTTGAGCAGTAAATAAAGTGTTCTTTAAAAAACCTGTTACGGCTTAAAACAATTGAACAATATCTACAAAGCATGCCAAGGTCTTACAAAAAGGAAACATACAATCTAAAACGTTCTAATTTCCAGAACCATCTATATCTTTCGGTACTACTGGACCATGAATGGATTATGCCGAACATTTATAAACAGCAGAAGAGTTTATCAACCTTCACTAGAAAGGGAGTTATTATAAAAATAGTCAATTGTAATGACTAAAGTGAACCGTTCCGTAATGCTAAATTTTTCTTGGTTGTATTTTATTCCATTTTTTATAGGTAGAGTACAGCTTGAATACCCAAACCAAAACCCATGTTCTGCCTTGTCAGATGGTGTCTTTTCCATTCGTATTTCCCAAACACAACAAGGATAGCCAATTTGTAATTTATTACTTACCCAATCTACGTAGAATTATTTGATTTTGAGTGGTAAAGCATTACTTGCATTATCTCCCAATTTGTAAAATTTTGATTGAGGTCCATTGGCAGGCATCTTTTGAGATGACATTCGTATATACAGGTTACCGCAAGAGGAAGTGGAGGAGAGGGGGGGGGGGTCGCAAATGAGGGTCCCGGATCGCACGCTCGACCTTGGTTCTTACTAATCCGCACGTCCCGCAACAGTCCCAGCGCAGTGCAAGAATTGTGCTGGATTATTTCGGGAGCGTGCCGCATGCGCTGCAGCCGCCCGCATGCTTTGGAGCTGTTTTTGACGTTCTTGAACGGTTTTGATTGCATAATTGCCCATTTTCTTCTCATTCTTTCACCTTTCGAAGTTGTGAAGAAGAGAATTCCGATATCGAAGCGAGGTTCAAGAATGAAGCTTCTCCATGTTTTGTCGTGCTTAAAAAGGGTGTTTTCCTTCGTGCGACCCTTTTTGTTCGTGAATTTTCTGAAAAGCGTCTTTTTTGTACCCCAGAATGTCGCTTCGTCCCCGATATCATGAGCTGTCTAAAGTACTGATACTATCATCAAAACTGCGGAGATCGCGAATTTTTCTCGTAATTTGATGAGATTTGGTTTTTGGGCGTTTCAGCCCCTTTTCTTTTCACAATTCATACTGCTTGTTGTCCGTTCTTGATTACCGTTCCGTTTCTAATGAAAAAACTCCGAAATCGGAGAAATGCACGGGATGAAAGCAGTACCAGTTTGTGACAGCTTTAGCCTGATGTACATACGAGAAACAAAAAGAGGCGAAAAGGAGCAAAACATAATATGAAAACCGTTCAAAAGAGACAAAAATTGCTACTTCGCTCCGCTCAAAACTGCATGCTGGCGGCTGCAGCGCAAGCAGCACAGTTCCGGAACAGTTCCAGCACAATGCGAAAATGTGCTGAAACTGTTCCGAGACTTAAGGATTATGAACTCAGCATAACTGATAAGTTCAGCTCTTACAGCTGTTAAAAATCGTGTTGTAAGATTATGTCGCATCTATCACGCGGTTTTGTGGCTTGATTAACATAAATAAGAGTGAAAAGAGTACTTTTCAATAAAGCAACGCAAGCTCTAAAAGAAGGAGCTCCCGAGAAAACAATTTTTGGCATGTTTTTGCCAGAGCCTGAGCAAGATTTTTGATTCTGTAGTATAAATCCTTAGATTATAATCATGGATTTTCGCTTTCCATTATAGAAGAGCTGATTGAGATCAGATTTAGCGCAAAAAAAAACAGACACGACATGTCTGCTATTTTGACCATTTTTGTTTTCGTATTTTGCTCATGGTCCACTGTGCACGTTAATGTCTAATGTAGAAAATATAGGTGCCTGTGCAAAATGAAGATGCTCAACAATCTTATGGACGGTTGTATTCAAAACTTCCTATATTTTGGCTTCAAACTTCAGGTACAGCCGCAGATATTTGTAGTCTATCTACGTCCATCTCGTAGAGCTTTCTTTGCACTATCAAGTGGTACCCCCTGTTCACCTTCTCTTGTGTCTACCTTTACCTCCCCTCTCCCCCCCCCCCACGCAATAGCATGCAAAGCGACATTTTTATCGAACAGCCTAGTACTAGGTTCAACGAAAATGAGCATTGACTAAGCTCAGGAAAGCAGTACAGCTTACCTACCACAAGAAACAGAGGAATCGACGTGTGCAACATCATTGTTTAGTTAGCTGTTGAAGCCTGTCATTCCTTATATGCGAAATCTGACGGCAATTGCAAGTAATAATCGTCGATCGAGCCACAACACATAAATCTTTTATTTTTCCGCAAACGCTCCAATCACACCATTGATGTGACATAAAAGTTTTAACAGAAGTTGCTACTTGGTGTATTGCACGTTTGCGTTGTGAAAGTGCTCCTTGCATTTTTCAACACGGAAAGCTGTTTCTTTGCAATCTCTGCAAAAGTCTGCAAGATTTAACGACTAATATATGAGCATAATGATTCTGAGAAGACCAAAGAGAAAATACTGGCAACGCAAGTAGTTTTCGAGAAAAAAGGCGATACTGCATCGTATTTCTCACAAGGAAGGTGCTTTTAGTCAAAGTGGCCTCTTGAGATGAGAAGAACTTACACTATTATATATTATTTCGATGACCATTAGACGCCGATTCCAAATCCTCTGCGCGCCGAGTTATAAACGATTTTAATGTAAAAAGGTGAAAGTGCGGTTAAGGCAAAATTATTTGAAACCGCTCGGGCGAGCGTCGGTTATTGGGTACGCAATGGACGCTTTCTATCTGGTGTACCGAAACTCCTCATTGCCTTACTTGAGCATTCGAGGTCTGCAGGACTTTCATTGTCGAGATCACAAGTTCATTTTTTTTTTCTGAAAAACGCTCATGCCTCGGCAACCAGAGGCGCACAGCACATATTGAAGATAAATTTGGAGAGCGTTTGATTCTCAACAAAATGATATATAGCTCATCTGAAAAGGTCTATTCAACTAGGAAACTCCTTGTCAGACAAGTCCAGGAGTCATGTCACAGCATCTCTACAGAATGCAAGATTGCTCGCACAGATGCACAGCCTCCACTCATCGTTAGTAGGAAGTCGTGCGCAACTGCAGCTAGATCACATACAAACCATAGATCACCCTTGTTAGACTTGAGCATACTGACAATTCATTGTCAGGTAGTTGCAAGCTTAATTTCGCCATTTGTTTCACTCATTTATTTGTGCCTACTCTTATTACATCAAACCCATTTGTAGCTTACAAGGGAAGCGTCATTAGTCGAAGTGGCCTTTCCAGATGAGACCCATACTGCTTTGAAAAGCATTAAGCGGTGATTCCAAATCTACCTAAATCTGCCAAGCGCCTTTGGATACCGAGTTATGGGCAGGGTCAAGCGTGGGGTGCGGCACGCCACACCTGGGGGGGGGGGGGGGGTCGTATTGAGGAGTCAAAAGGGGAGGGGGTCGTAGTTGGGTAATCTGATAATAGTGACAACATGATATTCGTATCATATCCATAATTAGCATGTCAATTAACCTTGGTAGACAAAGTGTGAGCGAATTCTGAAGATTCAAGATACTAGGCTACCTAAATGAAATGGTCAAATTCCAACATGATTAACTTTGTTTCAAAGGTAAATTAGCTACCCGTTTTTGCACTCAAGACAAAGCACTACTCCTTCTTTGTCCATCTCAGGAATCCCGCTTCAGAAGACCTGCAAACTGTGGAATTAGAAGCCAACCAAAATCTCGTTTTTCCCATTTTTCGCTTTTGATCGCTGTGCTTTCACCAAATATTACCTAGAGCTAAGAAGGCAAATCAGGCTCCAAACAGTCCTATGGAGTCTACAAGGTTTAGGCTATCGATTCATATAAATATTGTCCGCTAAAAATGTTTTTTTGATATAGTTAATGGGGTGCGGCACACCCCCTTAACTTGCCTTCAAAATCCAGAAAGCGCTCCATTGCTGGTATGAGTGTTGAGCAAATAGCTTCTTCTTGCTACACTGGAAATTTGGAGCCGAACGCCCCACCCATAAGAAAATTATGGCCCTTTCAAGATGCCCATTCAGATCAAATCAGCCGTCAAATTACGTGTGATTGTAAAGTGCAGTCACAGAAAATCGGGCGTACAGCTCTCAGAAATCTGTAAACTCTCTAGAAAAAGATGGTGTTCTCCAGAATGTCACACTTTGAGGTCTACAGGTCAAGAGGAGGAAGAAGGGGTCGTTTGAGGGCTTTCATGGGAGGGGGGGGGGGGTTCGAAAGACTTGTGCCTGACCTCTTTCTCAACTCTGGTAATGCTATCTTAGGTATATAGTTCAGGGGGGGGGGGTTTCTTATTAGGACAGCAATCAGGGGGGTCGTAGCCAGCGATCGTGTGCCACACCCCTTGCTTGACCCTGGTTATGGGCGTTTTCCAGGTCAAAAAATTGAACGCAAAACTGGAACAAAATCAACCAAATTTACTCATATGGTCCAGTGTCAAGTATCACAGCCGTTTATGCAATGGATACATTTTGTCTAATGTGCTAACACTTAACATTGCTTTATCTGAGCAATGAAAAGATTGTAACGATCGATTTTACCTAAATTCTGCATTCATTTTTTGTTTCAAAAATGGTCATAACTCGGCGGCCAGATTGGCAGGCCAGGCGCTTGGCAGATTTCGAAGGCAGATTTGGAATCACCGCTTAATGCTCTTCAAAGCAGTATAGGATTCATCTGGATAGGCCACATCGACTAATGACGCTTCCCTTGTTAGTTTTATTGACATCATCTTGTTATTTGTTTTATCCGTGTTCATTTTTGTTTATGTGATATAAATTTGATTACCCAAGGCTGAGATGGTGTGCGGTACGGTGAAAGTCCGCGTGGCGAATATTATATCTCACTGGCAATTACAACTGGACCAAAGCAATACATGCAAGGGGAAAATCAAATTATGTCATCTTCCATACAGCTGCACCGCAAATTCGGGGGACGGAACTTAGGAACCCGAGCCTGATGGGGGACGGAACTTAGGAACCCGTGCCTAATTAGCTCGATTCGAGGAGTGCCTGCAGGTTACAGTCATGCTCGCTGGCTCCGATTACTCACTAGGACTTAGCAACAATCTAGGCCCCGTGCCCTTGAGAGCCTGTTTGGAACCTAGCCAAGGAATGCTGAAAATCTCAATTGAATTTCAGGGCTGGCTCTAAGCCAAATACCTTCAAAGTGATCGTACGAAGGTGAAATTAGGCTCAAACGAAAGAGAAAAACCGTGCCATCATCATGAATTATCTACTGAACTGAACTGATTGAACACAACATTTTCTTGGTTCAAAACTTTATTCAAGTGTTAAATTACTGAGATATTATTCAAAAAATTTCAAAAATATTTTGAGTGCTAAATCCGGGCAAAAGACCAGAATATCATTCAAGAAATGACAGTTCAAAAACTCTCAAGATTGTTAGCTATTTAAATGTTGAAATTTAGGCGAAAGACTAGAAAATCAATTGCGAAACGACAGTTTATAAAATTCTCAAAAATAAAAGTTTGTTTGTGTGCGGAAGTCTGGGCAAAAGACTAAAATATCAAGAAATGAAAAATCAAGAACTTCTCAGAAACAATAGTTTTTTTGAGTGCTGAATTTCGAGCAAAACACATCAAGAAATGCACTCAGTAGTTAAAACTACCACAGTTGCTACCAGAATCACCTGAGACTCCCATACAGGAGCAGAATCTGCCGATGAATAAAATTCTTGCAGCAGATGCTGCATGTGGGAATAAAAATAATCGTCGTAAGATATGGGAAGTTGCGATATGGTAGTAACGAATGGTTTTCACCCTTTATGCTACTATTTATAAGGAAAATTTCGCCTCAAACTGTTATTGCAACCTTCCCTTGCGTAGGTTGAGGCCATTGCTTCCAGCATATTAGCAGGAGGTTCTTCGCACATCAGAATCGTCTGTGGTTGACAGACTCAGCAATATCATTAGTGAAGTTTTTGAATTCATTTCTTGATATTCTAGTCTTTTTCCCAGAATTCGGCACACAAACAAACTTTTATTTTTGAGAATTTTATAAACTGTCGTTTTCCGATTGGTTTTCTAGTCTTTCGCCTAAATTTCAGCATTCAAATAACTATCTCTTGGGAAGATTTTGAATTGTCATTTCTCTAATGTTATTCTAGTCTTTTGCTAGGATTTAGCACTCAAATAAAACTTTTTTGAAAAACTTGACGGTTTTTTGAATAATTTCTTAATTTGACACTTAAATAAAGTTTTGAACCAAGAAAATGTTGTGTTCAATTAGTTTGAATCAGCAGATACTTTATGATGATGGCATGGTTATTCTCTTTCGTTTGAGCCTAATTTCACCTTCGTACGATCACTTTGAAGGTTTTTGGCTTAGAGCCAGCCCTGAAATTCAACTGAGATTTTCAGCATTCCTTGGCTAGGTTCCAAACAGGCTCTCATGGGGGCGGGGCTTAGATTTTTGCTATGTCCTAGTGAGTAATCAGAGACAGCGAGCATGACTGTAACCTGCAGGCACTCCCCGAATCGAGCTAATTAGGCTCGGGTTCCTAAGTTACCGCACCCCGCAAATTCCCATCGGGTCCTCCGGTAGCGTTGTCCGGGACTGGGACGGCACTGTGTTAGCACAGCCCTGTCTTCGCACTTCCTCGCCGCTGACACACCGAACAACCTTGAACAAAGCCTTAGAAGATATCTCTTTCTATCACTAAAACATAAAAGGAGCAGTAATACTCATATACATTGCTTTTCAATTGATTTTTTTATACGGTAGTGAAATGTATTTATTGAGATGTAGCAATAGCTTTACAAAATCATGCTTATTTTACTAGTCAGCTAGCACCAAAGCATCAACGAAAAATTAACAAAATCACATTGTATTACATCAAATCTCAAATATTATATTAGATCGACTTTGGAGAGAAAACCATAAGTATTTATCGCGTTTTAGCAGCAACGATGGCAGCCTGACTCTCAACAATGGAGCGTGGAGTGGCACCAAGGAGAAATTCAACGCGGTAACGTTCACGAGCGCCAAGACGACAACCAGGTTCGCAGACAAGCTGACGCAACTGAAAAGATACTAGGTAGTTCAGGTAAAAATAGGTGTCTGGACTTTCTATGTTAATACATAGCGTTTGACAGACTCAATAAGTCATTGCTCAAGCAGCAACTCATACGACTAATACGCTAGCCAAAAAAATTTAGCTTTAAAATGCAAACATGAAGGGCGACACAAAAATTCTCGTGACTCCAGTAACGCGCTAGACATTTCCGGAAGCAAGAAAAAGTTTGACATAGTCCTTCCAAGATGTTTTGAGGTGGGAAGGCGAAAAAAACCTCAAATGAAGAGGTTAGTTAGTCAAACCCTTCAAAACATTTATGGGACCTCAGCGCGCCACCAGGCTGAGAAAGCTCTAAAATGTAAACTTCATCAGTACCGCGATTTTGTGGGAACCTATCAGCTTAATTGAGTGCGGTAATGGGCGAGAGATTTGAGAAATGAGTTTCTAAGCTACAAAACCAATATATGAGCTGCCGGTTGGGCACTGTTTTCCTAAAACCTCACAATCACCTCCTTGAAGAAACCTGATACCGGGTTATGTTTTTGTACTTTTTTGGAAATCTTGATGCTGAAATTGGTGGTAAAGACTTTTTATTCATCTAGAAGAAGCAACTAACCAGGGAATCCACACATTCCGCTCTCGCCACATCCAACCAGACGCGAGCCTCTGTATCACTTCGGCATGTTTCACCACCCCAGAGCGCAACTTCGAGAACATTCTTCGCCTTCGTCAAGCTGGACGATTTATCCTCCTGTAGAAGTGTAGCGCATGCCAATAGCGCGCTTGAATACCTTGACCTAGGAAGCGGAACTTTATGTGGGTACGGTAACCTTCAAGAGAATAAACGTTACCGATAGCGTATAGGTGGAGCTTTCCCATCCATTCTATGGTGTAAAAGTGTACATAGTGCTCTCATAGCGTAACGGCACAGTCCAACAAGTTCGTCCCCACCGCTTTCAATTTCGGCTCCGTGGGTCTCCTATATGATAAAACTATTAGCTTGAAGATCTTCAACAACAATTTTTTTCTGCTTTGATGGGCAGATCGCTCGGAAACAGTAAAGGAGAGAAAATCTGCGCAGTAATGATGGAAGTAGTTGGTAAATTTGTTATGAGCAATATATTTCTACCTTAAATTATTTCAAGTTTTACATGCTGAATGAAAATAAGCTCAAATTTGGGCTTGGAAGATTAGCATTGGTAGTTTGGGATGTGTACAACCAATCTGGGTGTCTTTTTCTTATGTAGAAGCTGATTGGGACGCATACTAAGCCATCATTCAAGCGACAACTTATACGATTCAATCGTAAACAAGGAATTCAATTCTAAGCTCTTGTCCAGACTTTTTTTCCAGCAAATAGTATTTCTGGATACGGTATCGACCGAGATTTTAGGGCTGATTTTTTGTCACAAACGAATTAAACGCTGCCAATTAGCGAAGGTTCAGTTGGAGACTTCTAGCCCGTAGATATAAGAAGTCCATGGCCGGGTTTACCCAGAACAGCGCTAAGATCAGAAGTAGTTTCCCAATTTCTATGTTTACTGGATTTTCCAAGAAAGATTAGTCTAAGTGACCAGCAAACACTTTTGAGGCTTGGATTATGAACGCTACCTTGCAGCTTGCAAACTTTGATTCATATTAGCATAGAATTTGTATAGAAAAACAGCAGATATTGAGAAATTTGGCAATATCGCTCTGAAAAAGTGGCTGCAGTGTTACTTCGCATTAATTTGGTCGTAAATTTCGTACCAATCAAAGTTTGTTTTGCACCGTGGCGTGTGCAAATAGTCACAGTTGGAGCGATAATAGAAACATATACCGGCAAAAAAATTAGTCGCGGAAATTCCCATATTTCCGTTTGTGAATTTGGTGCGAAGCGGTAGGCAAGAAGGAACTCCTAAAATACTCTTTGAGTATAGAAAATTAAAAGTTTTCTGCCATGAAGTACTAACAAAAAGACGGAACCAACCTTAAAATTTGTACTAAGCGACTCAACGCCGTCGCTTTGGAGCATTTTCAGAGCAGCAAGTAATTGAAGCAGAATGAAAGCTACAAGTTCCTCATGTGCTGCGCAGTCCATTCGCTGGAAAATGGAATTAGTACTGATGCTAAACCCTGAATTCTGAATTCTTATTCGACGAAATCTTGTTTTCATTGCTTCTAGAATTTTGATTTTTACACGGAGTGGATGATAGAAGTCTCAGATTCTAGAATTTACTGATGATACAGAGCATACATGTTACGAGGTCTGACTGTGTGAGATATTGAAATTCCTGCATGTATACATATGATATGGAAATTATACTCACCTCATTCAAATGATGAGCAGCAAGAGAATGAAAGGAGCATAAGTTTAAGCGAGGCATGGCAACCACCTGGAAATGTCTTATTGTAATAAGCAATCTCTCTTCCTTACTAGCGTACTAAACCCAGGTGATTTTCAGAAAACTGGTGTTATCAGGTTTCTTGATTATTTTCCCATATATAAAGCTACCGCCGAAAAGAGTTCTGAATCGGTTTCCATGTGAAGAAATTTGGTTCAAAAATAAAACATTTTTCAAAAATGCAAATTAAAATTCCTTGTGCTTTCTTGACATGACCAGATTATAGCCCTTGATAAGCTCTATGTGATATGTGCCTTGCCTGTTAGGATTACTTGTGTTTCCGCTCAAAGAACCCCAGACACTATTCGCGCTCGAACTGTTTTACGCGGCATTGTGATGCGGCCACTCTTGGACTTCTTTTGGCAAAATGTTTAAAAATTTCTTAGATCCAAGTTTTCCAAGATTTGAAGACTCTATCATCTTAAGCAATCGGATCATTTTTTTATTTTTGTTTTCCTTCCGAGAATGAGCGATGAATAAAGGAGGCGGCTTGTCCGCAACTTTTTGGCGGGCAATGTACCTAAAATTACACCAACAATATCATAGCGTGTGGTTTCCCACGTCCTTGAAAAAACCTCAAAAGCTAGGATAAAAATTAAGTAATATTAAACGATCTTGATCAAATATGTAAGGAAAAAACACATTGTAGACTAAGTTCAAAATTCAGCAAAGTTTGAAAGAAGCCCAAGTTTTTTCTCGTGTGTATTTCCGGGCAATAATTTCCAGATAAGGAATGTTTACGCTTCAACAGTTACCTTGTCTATGCAGATTAATTGTGTTTGCAATTACCTTAGTGTGTCTTCCTTCCAAATTCACTGTCCCTGTCTCATGCAAAAATTTGGTGACAGAGCCATCTTGGTCTTCTAGTTCTAGGAAGCCAGGTAGAGCAAAGAGTTGCGAAGCGCTATGTCGCATTAGAGGAGCATATTGGGAGCATGGCGCTATCTGTAATTAGAAGTTTTGAGTGTTTATTATACTATTACTTAAGAATGAAAAGTTTCTTTACTCACCATCAGTGTCACCGGATAATCGGAAAACCCTGGTCGCGGCAATATAGCATTGTAGAATAGACTTTTACCCTTTGTAAGCATTGGATGGGGTGAGCACATGACGAAATGGGAAAACTCCAACTCCCCAAGTTGATTTCGTGACACTGGTTCTTCCCCTCTGCTAAATCTGACACCGAAGGTATTTGCCGAAAATGTTGGAGAAAAAGTTTCTACCTCAAGTCGTCAGCCAATCTGTCAGCTACCAAGGACAGAGTTTGTACATGGGACAGCGCCATCTGCAAGTACGAATTACTGCAAGTTTTGAGCAACGGGAGCATATGCGTGTACTTTGAAGGAAAAAAGTAAAGTTATAGGGTATATTTCCGTTTTGTAAAAAAAAAGTTGCGAATTTAGAGTAATAGAAATTTATTGGAGAAACGTAGTAAAATTCTGTAATTTGCGAATTTAGAGTGCCAGAAATTCAATAGAGAAACCTGGAAAAACTTTGTGAGAAATAGGAAATATACTTAATGCAAGTCGTACGTGGAATTGAGTCCTTAGGACTCTTGAAAAAAATAATTTTTCTTGGTTCTTCTTGCGTCTTTATTTCTCCCTTACCTGCTGGTATTGTTTGTGTAGATCGTCATGAACATCAACGCTCTTTTTTCCCGACGATGCGTCATTTTGGCTGCGCTGGTCGCTACGAACACTTTCGTTTGAGAAAAAGATGGGAATGGAGTGAAGAGTAGCGCGAGAACCTGGAAACAGTACAGCTTTAGTACGAATAAAGTAATTTCAGATTGCGCTTAGGCGTTTTTTCAAATAATTTCAGCATAGTGCTAAAATTGCACATTTTTCAAAAATTTTAGCTAAGGCCCATCGAGAAAATGACCTGATTTTTGAGTTCGACATGGCGAAGAAGAAAGTGCTATAGTGGCTCGTTCATCCTTCGATTTGCTCCTTCTGACATATCCATTATGCGGTAAGTTCACATCCAGACCAGAGAGAACTTTTCTACAGCTTCCACCGTAGCGAGATTGAGACTGAAAATTGTGTTATAGATGTTAGAGCAAGATTCTCTTTAATACCGATTTTCCATTAGGTTGAAGCCTGTCACAGCTTGGTACTCTAGCGAGGGGAGCGCTGCGCGGAGCGGGAACTGCCTACAAAAATCGCTTTGACTCTGTGTACTACAGCTAGATCTATGTGGTCATATAAATCCTCCAATATTTGCTTCAGTTTGACTTTTTTGATCTTTGAGACCTCAGAACATATATTGTACGGAATGCAAGTAGTTAATTGTGTTGAAATCTGAGCAGGAGAGTAATTAAGAAGTGAATTAACATTAAGTAACACATTGACTTCTGTAAAGGGAAAAAGACTTGCACTCAGCTTGTATATACAACTCGCTTGACATTTGGGGATACTATATGAGCCAAAACGGAAATTTTCAGTTTTTTTTTACAGATTAATAAAATCTGCACTACTTCCGCGTGATTACAATGAATTTGTCTTATGAAAATTCGTGCAAGTCAGCCAATTATAAGTCCTGTTTTTAGAAGTATGTGAATGTACTGTATTATAATAAAGAATCTATCACTGTATCATAAATGCATTCAAAATGATGACTTAGGCATGCGTTCTATTACAAATTCGATTTGCCAAGAGAGCTCTTCAAGATGGTTGGGATGACGATGTCAAGAGCTTGGGTATTGTAACTAAAATATGAGATGAATTCATGTGCTGAAGTGTGAATTCATAGAATGAGCATCAATCTGCATAAAGAATTATGAAGTTGTGCTGGACTGTTTGCACTTCTCAAATAACAAATCATAAAATCACTCCAATTTTTCCACCCTTCACGCAACATTTATGTTTTCCTGAAAAGCGACTGTGGACTAGAATAGTATCTACGAAATTCTTTAATCACGAGGGGCTAAAAGAAATCACCTGCGCATCTTGGAACTCTTGCACTGGTGACGCTATCGGACTTAAGTGCGTCGATAGTGGCTCATCAATGTCTGTTTCTTTCACCCATCTGTAAGCGCTAAGATGACATTTTTCTGAAAGTCAAAGCCTCTTAAGAGGTGTAAGACTAACCTGCCCGGTAAGCTTCTCCTTTTTGGTGTAGGTACGCTGACAGTGAGTGGAGCCGATCGGATAGTAATCTCGACAGGTTCGGGGGTAGAGCCGGTATGGCTCAGTGGGCTGTGGCTATTCGCATTTTCTGATGAGCTGGATGCAGGGTCGCGACACGGCACCGATGATGGACTAGGCATCTAAACCATTACAATATACGCTGATAGTTCAAAAATGAATTGGTTGAAATTACCACACCTCAATATGAACAATAATAGTTGCTAACTTTTCAGTCATTGAAAATAATAGATTTGAGTTCAAAAACCACGATTATCCAAAGCAGAAGTGGAATGGTTTATGTGCTGTGTAAGCTGCACGTATGCAGCACATTTTTTGCTAGCAGGAAGAGGAGGAAAACTTGTGACAAAGTGTTTGCCCTATGACATGAAATGTTGACACCAGTAAAATAAGCAAAACTAGTTGCCGGCGACAGAAAAGCCAAGTTTGATTTTTTACAAAAACACATTTTTAGTCCAATTCAAACGACATAATCCGTCAAGAAATAGTTTTGAATGTTATAAACCAGAAGCTCACAAAAAGCAAAATATGCAGATAGCACATGGATCTTGGAACAACGAAAAGAATTCCTTTCGCCTCAGATGTGGAGGGTCCATAACTACTTTTTTTTCATAAAGGCCGAAAACGCCAAAACATAACTTCACCATTCGATAGGAATCTCTACCTTCCTTACCCTCGTTACCCTTTGCCTGTATGTAAGAAGCTTTACATCAGAAGCTTGAATCATGGAAATTCTCAAAGTAGAGTGTATGTAGATGGTAAGATTCATGATTGGGCGTGTCTTTATGGAAAAGTATAAAATACTTATGTCATGCGTTCTGCTTCGCTAGTATTATAAAAGTTTTGACTCTGTGTCTATGTTTTAATTGTTTTTAGTCTCCGTTTTGTCAGACTCTTGATTTTCAAATTTCATACTCTTGAAATGTGGACTTTCAGCGGCAACTCTTTTTAAGTGACCCCAAGGTGACATTTATAAGATATACTGGGCAGGAATACGGATTTGAATGACCGCCTCCTCTCAAAGCTTTGCGGTAAGCTGAGTCAGTTCTGAAAATTAGATCAGCAAGAATTAAGTTTTGCAGAAAGGCAGGCGCTGGAGACTACTCGAACACTATAGCCAGCAATATGCTGCCAGCCCTCTTTCGATAAAAAACTAGAGTAAACTCGAGGCTTGCTTTTATGAGGAAGTCAGGCGACTACGCCTGGTTACTATTGAGAACGCGGGTAGGGAAAAAACAGCGCAAAATGTAGGCTAGTTATGGTGGTAATGTGAATATATTGAGTCTAGACTAACTTAAGTACTGTTAAGCGTAGGCAATAATTCAAAAATCTAAAGGAAAAAAAACGTTATACAAAAAAAAGAAAAGAAAAAGGCAATATATCAAAACAATAGCGCTAACAATAAGAGAATATTGGATGTGGAATGGAACTATTCTTATCGCCTTTCACGACTCCAAAACGAATGGATGCAGGAAAACTTCTCTGTAATTCTGGACAATTTGAATTTTTTTATTGATTGATAGGGGGGGGGGGGGTTCTTACGAAAGTAAAACATAGAGAGTCTTCTAAATTTAACCCTGCATTTGTCATGGTATACAAGCGCAGTAAGATGTACATGTGCCCAAATTGGATTTCCAGACATACAAAACCTAAGCTATTGGAAGTCTGAGAAACGTTAGTTCCGCTAATCTAAGTTTCAATCGCCTTTGCTCATTTTTTCATTCTAGAAGGAAGCTACAGAGAGAAAAAAGTAAACAACAAGAGGAATGATGCAAAGATGCAAAAAAGAGACTAAGCTTACGAAATTTGATTTTAAAAGATATTGTCAGCGACGCACTGTATGCAAACAACCTAGCCCTATCTCATGCTGTATCCATAATAAGTAGATACTTATTTCATCAAAATAACAAATGGAATAATCAAATTCTAGGCTATGGCCTTATTTCCGGTGACGTCGCCTAAATGACAGCAAAATATGTATGGGAAATTGATTCATAATTCATTAGGTGTGATTCAAATGGTTGATTCGAGAGCCAGGGAGGTATTTTTTGCGACCTTTTCTGTTACTTTCTTTCAATCAAATCCTTTAAATTCGCTTGCTATATAGATCTATGAGGTGGAGAAAGATGCGCAAACAGGAAATGTGAGGATAAGGGGTTTGAAAATACAGTGTTCGAAAAGTTTAATGTTCTACACAGTAAAACAGTAAAGTTTTCGTTATTTATAGAATCTATTAGCGCATCTAATTTGTTGCCAAGTCAGCAATCATTTGAAACCTTTTGAGTTAAATTTGATTCAAAATTTCGCTACGATCACTCAACTTCTAACTGTTCTCAAAGCACCATTACAAAATTTTCAGAAAAAAAATAGGAACCAAATTTGTTCGCAGCTGTTGAAGGTTGGTATGTTAGCTCATGGATACCAAAGTCAACAATTATCTGTGTAGTCATGATATTTTGAGTAACATTCGTTGCATAATAAAATTGATTTAAACTTGCCCATTATGTTAATTTGGCTTTTTTAGCTTGGCAGTGATGAGTTGCGAATGTGAAAGAGTAAATGAGATTCTTTTTGAGATACGATGTTGCTACGATGAAAACCATTCTGTGAGCATCTGCTTCTCGCAATAAACTCAAAGAAGAAGTTGAGATAAGGACGTTTATATTAGAGCAAAGAGCTGAAGTAAATTTGAATCTATATCGTATGCATCACGGCGCACCAATGAAAAGTTTTTTCGAATCTCAAATGCTTCCGAGGCTTCATTCTAAGACACATTGAAAATTGAGTGCACATAGTCGTAAAAGATATTGGTCATCAATTTGCATGGCCTCGACCTAAAACCGCTCTGACTAAATAACCAGAGCAACACAATTGTCATGCAAACAAAGTCGCTTTCCCAAAATAAGCGTAAAAAACTATTTTCAGTGTGTTGTCAAGCTAGTTTTTCCCTTCAAGGCAACCCCTTAAATTTAATGTTAGTTTGATTATTACCAGTCTATACGAAAGACACTATTTCACTCTCAGAAATTATCTGTTTTCATATGCTAGCACTCGCAAATTCTCCAAAATCAGTAGTTGAAGTGCTGGAAGAAGCTGAAGTTATCAAAAAATCTTTACCGATCTAGGAGAAGGATCTCTGGTGGGTAGAAAGCTCATTGGACTATGCATGGATGAGAGACTTGCACGAGATCTTCCCGAGGTATCTCTTGATGAAGGACTGCTTCTGAAAATGTCTCTTCAATACAGAAAATCTCCAGAAAATTCAAAAAAAATTGTACCTAGGCGCAGAGTTTAAGCTGCTGCGTTGTGCTGGAGACCACGTGTCCCTCGAGGTTACAGCAGGGCTTCTTGTTGGGGACCATGCTTCTCGAGAGTTGTTTCTTCGAATGCGTGGAGACCAAACGTCGTTTGAGTTAGCCGGACTGGATGGGGGTGAGTTGATGCGAATGGAATCCATGGTGGTACGACGGGGCAGTTGAGCTCGCTTGTCGGCTATCTGCAGAGCAAAAAGTTAGAAAGGGACCATGATAATCGGCAGGCGTTGTGTAGAAGCTACAGTACCATAACTCTCGGTAAACTTGGCCATCGCCCAGGATCCCAAACTAGGAAGTCGTGCATTTAGTCGACTTCAGAAAGATACACTGAGAGTGGGGATCGCGTACACGTGGGCGCAATGGTCGAGGATCACTACAAGCCTTGGGGAGTGCTGATTGTGGCTTCACGTACGAGATTCGCAGATTCGCAGCAAGGGTTTGGCAAACATCACTCTCGACCCCGTTAGTGATGTAGGCAGCCCACTCGGCACTCGTGTTCGCACACGCCATAGCTAATCAAAGTTCGGTAAGTTGCGCTCAAGTTAGCGCTAGAATAAAAAAAAATTTCGCACAAACACAAACAAAACAAAAAGAGAATGATCATACAGTCATGACAAAGAGCGTGTCAATTTTCGCGGCTTTCTGAGATTTTCAGAACTTAATGCATTTGCCTCACGAGACTGAGTTTGAATATGCTAGAAGAATTACGGAATCCCAGAAATCCCGCGAATTCGAATACCGCAACGGACACGTTTCATTGTTCATCTGTATACTAGCTCTACAGTTTTGAAAGCATGCCAAGAATCCTCGATGACAAGATGCCAAAAAATATGCATTGTCAGCAATGTAGGTTTCATGAATTACTCGTTCCTATCCAAGAGAAACTACTTGACTTCTGATTGAAAGTTTCTATGATGATTATTTTTGAAGATTCGACTTATTGATTTCGTATCGTATGAAATTCAAGACAAAATGCTTATAAACAGGGCATATAATGAAAAGAGAGTTTCTGAACACTATCAAAACGGATTCTTTTGAACTCTCAGTGCAAGACTTCCCAAAGAAGCTAATATATTATTGCAGTTTCCTAGGCTTAGGGCCGCATGCACTAACATCACCGCGGTGAGGGGATCGCAGCTTAAAAGAAAGCTCTATATTTCGAAACTCCAGATACCTGGATTTCACGTTGTGTATCTATCCGTAAGTATTCCTACTACCCTTCACTATGAACGTGTTGAAGAGGAGCGAGAAGCTGTACGAACCGCATTTTCCAGCTTTTGTATGATCCCTGATGATCCCCGGCGCTTTTCTTTAAAGTCATTTTTCTTTCTCCGAAGTTAACGAAAAACCCCCAAAGTTGTGCAGATTATCCAATCCGACAGTGCTAAGCATGTTCGTGATAAGAACAAATGATGTTTTGAAGTCATGAAATTTTCGATGATCCGCAGGTCGATTGAGGTTTACCGAAAAATTCGACTTTTCAAAAACTCATTTGTTCTCATCAGCAACATGCTTAGCACTGTTGTGTTAGATGTTCAGTACAACTTTGGAAAGTTTTTGTCAACCCGGAGAAAGAAAAATGACTTTGAAGAAAGGCGCCGGGGATCATCAGGGATCATACAAAAGCTGGAAAATGCGGTTCGTGCAGCTTCTCGCTCCTCTTCAACATGTTCATAATGAAGGATAGTAGGAATACTTACGGATAGGTACATAACGTGAAATCCAGGTATCTGGAGAAATATAAAGCTTTCTTTTAAGCTGCGATCCCCTCCCCAGCGGAGAGGTTAGTGCATGCGGCCCTTAGAGAAAAAAATTTGCGATTTGCACATTGGTGTGAAATACCACAATTTGACTAGATGTTCAAGGTTTGAATATAGAATTTTATAGAACAAACTAATGATACGCATTGCATTCCATTAACGTAGTGAAGCCAGAAGATACATTTTACCCAACGAGTTCGAAGCCGGCTGTGAATCATAAAGTTTCGCTGGTGCATAGTAAATCATGCACTCTGCTCTGTTTGCATAAGCGTATATGTTGCAACCACTGATCTGGTTCCTCTGTTCTTGCGCAAATCCGGAAGTTTTTACAATATTTGCCTTCGATATCCACTTGAACCGGGTTATGCCTCTAGTTTAAAGAGACCGAAACTGAATGTCTTCTACAAAACTTATTTTGAGCTCTCAGCTCTTGAATCCTTTCAGACGTTGCTCACTATACGCCGGAACATTCGAAATATCTCATTGAAGAATAAATACCGAGTAAACTTGAAAATCAAAAATAATAAACACATATCGAATGAATCAGCCAAAAATTTGGAATAGACGAATATCGACTGTAATTGAAATCTAGGAATTTGAATTTCGAACGAGTATAGAATAGAATTCGAAAATTAAAATTTTAAGAACGAATATTCATACATTACAACATTGAGGAGCGAACTTCGAATGCTTATTCCAATAATTTATATTCATATATATCTACAACGGCCATATCTAAAATTGCTAACATACCCGGCTCGTTCGATGATCTGTTCCAAAGAACTCGAATAAGTTAATAATAATTTTCATTAGAGTATGAAGTCGAATGAAATATTTGAATAAACCCTCCAAATTTTATTCGCTCGAAATCTTTTACTGATTGAAATTTTCGAATTCTATTCGACCCCGTTTTTTATTCTTCAAGTTTCCAAATTTTGTTCGAAGAAAAATTCCGGTTTTGAATTTCGAATGCGAAAAAATTCGAATATTTGAATGATAGAAGTTTCACTCGATTCGGACCAAAGTACATTGCTCACAGAGGGTAAGATGAAAAGTTGTCTTTTTCTATCTGAGTTTCCTGCCTTGTTGCTGCGCAAAACGATCATACAAATACTGGATATATTCTCTCATTGATAGTACCCTTGGTTTGTATATCTTGAGTTTTCCTTCAACGCAGTTTTTTTTCTGAAAGCTTGGCCATGCAGATCTGAGTTCCCGGGATTGTTGCATAGTGATTGGGTAGTCTTCATTAAGCTATTGCTTGAATGGCAATTCACATAACTTATTGTGGCCGGAAATTTGATTCTCAATCTTATCTATTCGTTCTATAGTTGCCGGTTATTCCGCTCGGAAAGTTATGGTTTGGGAAAAACTCTTAAGTTGAGTCTTTTGAAAGCGAAAGAAAACCATGAGCTACCGCTTTGGCAATCTTAGCCAAGGCCCTTCGCGCAGTAATAAAATAAGCCTAGGAAAAATTAATTAAATGCTGTCTGCACAACTCTCTAAAGCAAAATAAAACTATGTCACTGACGTCAGTCTGAAGATTGCAGACTTGAATGAATCGAAGCAAGTCAGACATGGATGGAGTAGTGGATGCGCTGTGGACAGCAAGTAATTCGAAATATTGAGTGAAGACCAAGAAGTGCATGATACTTTTTCAGTGAACAAACTAGATTTGGATTATATTCAAACTAGATTTGAATCAATGCAGAGGACAGAAGATAAGTTTTTGTTTACGGTACTCAAGTGCTGTAGAAAGATGCATGTTCTCCGCTAAAAATAGATAACGAATATCGGTCATTGTTTGAAGAGACTTCAAGAGCTCTTCAAGCATGAGGACTACGAATCTTGACCTTATCATGAACGTTTGTGCTGATTGCATGGATTCGAAAAAGTAGATAAATAATTATGTGCATAGTCAAAAATGCAAATAAACACCTCTTGTTGTGAACAAGAGGTAACTTCTAATTTATTAGGTTGGTAAGAAAGTTCTCGGACATTTTCAGAAAAGATCTGCTATTTCTCGAAACGTAATGCATATACATCAGGTAGAGGCACCATTCGATAGAGCAAAGCAAGCTCCACGAGATGGTATGCAAAAGTTCGCACCAGCTTCGACCCACCGCAAGTTTGCACCCAAAATCTGAGTCGTACTGAAATTCAAAAAATCGCGAAAAATTCATATCTTTGTTCAAGCAAATCCTATGGATCTCCAACTTGCTCACAAAAATTGCGGACCACATTAGACACACATATGCACCGTTTCTGCATTTATTGCTCGTCTGGAAATCGAGAAAACGAAAATTTTCATGCTTGTATAAAAACGAAGCTGTGCTGTTTCCACTCATGTAATTGAATAGTACAGGCCCTTAAAAGTATAACCGTAAATTTTCAGCTTTTTACAGGCCCTAGTTCCCGAAAATTACCGAGTTGAGCGCTCCTCACTCGGACGTTCCATGCTAAACTCAACATTTTTCGACAACTAGGGCTTACGGAAAGCTGAAAATTTACGGTTATACTTTTAAGGGCTTGTACTATTCAATTACATGGGTGGAAACAGCACAGCTTCGTTTCTATACAAGCATGAAAATGTTCGTTTTCTTGATTTCCAGACGAGCAATAAATGCAGGATCGGTGCATATGTGTGTCTAATGTGGTCCGCAATTTTTGTGAGCAAGTTGGAGATCCGTAGGATTTGTTTGAACAAAGATATGAATTTTTCGCGATTTTTTGAATTTCAGTACGACTCAGATTATGGGCGCAAACTTACGGTGGTTCGAAGCTGGTGCGAACTTTTGCATACCGTCTTGTAGAGCTTGCTTTGCTCTACCGAATGGTGCCTCTATCTGATGTATATGCGTTATGTTTCGAGAAATAGCAGATCTTTTCTGAAAATGTCCGAGAACTTTCTTACCAACCTAATAACAACATTTTTGATTATCAGGAGGTTCAGGCTTATAAAATCAGTATTGTTTTGAATTTTCAATAAGTGAGAGGGCTTGAAAATCGAGCACACTTACCTGAAAACGAGTAAGTAGCCTGAATTTTTTGTATGAAGCTGATCAGATTGAGTTCCTAATAATCGTGAGTGTTGGGAATTTAAAATATTCAGTCAAAAGTCTGAATTTCTTGAAATTAATAAACCTCATGTTTGAGTATTCACAAATATGAGTGCTCAAAAGTTGGAAATAATCAGCTGAAACAAGTAAATTTTTTAAGATCAATAAACTTGATCAACTTAAGTTAATAACGTGAATACTTGAAAACTGAGACATTCAGCTGGAATGAATGAATAGCTTAAATTTTGAGATCAATAACTTTGATTTAATCTACACTTCAAAAAATTGTGACGGCTTGAGACTTGAAAATAATCAGCTCGAACAAAAAGCTCAAAATTATGAGGTTTGTAAAACCTAGAAACGAAAGAAATACGACCCTACCGCCACCACTTTCGAATTATATGTGAACGTCATTATAACGGTAACATAACCTATAGAACTTGTCGGACGGGTACGATAATTCACTAATTGATCTATGCCATATAATATAGCATAACAAGCTTGAACCATTTGCCTAGCTCAAGTGGTCCAACTACTGGCAACAGAAACCCTAACCAGTTCATCCAGTTCTTGCTATGGTTGATGTCGTTAAAGCAACATAATATGCGCCTGATGTAGCAGATCTGCCCTCTTTCAGCATTCCCAAGTACCCAAGGGATTTGTTACGCTATTAGTGCAAATCTCGTACCTGAAAGTGTTTGAGTATTCGTTTGAAGTCGTTCGCCCTTTCTGTTGGCACCGGCGAAGAGCGTGCAGTACTTCGTGTTGATTGATGCTGCTGAGGACTTGGAGAGCGTGAGCTGCAACATGCAAATCTTCTTCGGTCATGGTCAAGTCAAAAATTATGGGAGTTGGACAAGAAAAATAAAATTTTTATTTATTCCGTCATTTTTTGATATAGAATTCGAGTCAGTTGTAACTCAATGTGCGTACTGCACACCACGCGCGCTACTTGACGACTTCTAAGACTAGAACCTAACTATTCCCAATGAAATTCCTTGTTCCCTTGTCTGCTTTGATGTGATTGGATATTTATTAATTACAGCACACATTTTGATAGTTTGTCATGCTAGAATATAATTCTCTGAGGTGTCACTAGTAAGGATGTCGTCGGTTGTCGCGCATAGTGTGCAAACTCATATGATAAGTTATAAATGACTCGCGGATGTGCGCTTAATACAAAAATTGCCCTCAGAGTATCAGTACACAACATAGAAATACTGGAGGAAGTCAATTTTAGTTTTATACTGTTAAGCTGGCTTACCAAAATCATCTAGTAATATGAGATCGTTAAACTATGTCCAACAAAGACAAAATTATTTTTTTTCCAAATTTGATCAACGACTTCAGTTTTTCAAGAATTGGGATCAAGAACCAAAACTCCTATCAGCAAATCGGCATAAAAGTCAAGCTGGAGTAGGGTAGATAATGAGGTGGCAGGGTTCATAAAAAACATTTCCTTTACAAACTTCAAATGAAGGATGCAGTTCACAAAAAACTATTTTTCGGGCAAATCATGAAATAAAGAATGGATTCAGAGAGAAATAACTTGAAAAAATTTGAAAAAAATTGAAAATAGAAAACTCAATTCCTCTTTTATTGCAAGAGGTGTACGCGATAGTGCACAAAACAAATGTGAGTATCGAAGCCGTCATAGACGTATTCTGCGAAGCACTATCTTTTGTCTTTCTGAAAATTGTTGCATGGTGTCGAATTACATGTGTGCACAAAATTCCAATGACTCGCAGCATTTTTACTAGATTACCTCATAGGCCAAGGAAGCATTTGTTGTGCAAGATTGAAAATATAGATATAAAACGTTGTCATGAATATAAGCATTCATTCACCAAAGACTATGTGTACCTACGCGATAACACAACAGCATACGTGTGCAACACATCATGAATGAGAGAAAGTAAATTCAAAATTCCATGGTTCTAACTGTGTCTTCGTTTCAATATAACATTTTCACCTGTTAATATGAGATAGCAGAAGCTGGTGTTCAAAAAATAACTCCTACCCAAATTCCTAGGAAGTACTCCAATCAGTTGTCAAAATAACTTAAGAATGCCTCAAAATATCCTCCCAGAAAAAGTGTTTCGAATCAGATTTTCACTACAAAAAAGGATCTAAATGAGAGCTTTACAAAAACCTGAGAGCCTTCTCGAGGGAAGATGTGCATTGATGTGAATAAGCCTCGATGCGCGCCGTTGTATCAAACACTTCTTTTGCATTCTTCACATTCATGCCTTATTGTCCTCCAGTCTTAACAAAGCATGGGGGAACGGGTATTCAGCTTGATGCGGGCTTCAATCTTACATCATTTCAGCTTGATGTGACGGTAACGTCCAATATAGCGTAGAGATGTTACGAGACTTGTTTCAGATGATTCCTTGAATTTACCATTTGTCGCAAAATGATGCTCCTAAGCATTCTTTGCATGAAAAATTACCGTGCTATGCGTCCGCTAGGAGCATTTTTATGATCCCATTGTATTTACTGCTCAACTTTCATGGATCTTTCAGGAGGATTGATTCAAGAAACAACATTTGGAGAGTTTTTTTGTGCTTTGATAATTTTTTCGCATCTTTGAAAGTAGGGATTGTTCTGTACAAGCCTTCTCTGATGGAACTACATGTTTTGTTCTGTTCTCATACTTAAAAAAAAGGATAAGACCCCTGACCCTGTCTTGCGATTTTTGAGCATAAAAAACTTTGACTATAAGTGGAGCGATAGAAAACATTCAAAATAAACAAGCAAAAAACAGAAACAGAAACAAGAACTATGTGTACGAGTTACTTAACGTTAGCCTTGCCATAACAGAGATTTCCGAAGCTAAAAAAGCTTATGTTCTGCAACAGTATTAGCATGCTTGTTACAGCTATACTTGATTAAACTGGAAAAAATATACACTGAAAAAATTCTAGCAAACGTGTTTTTCTTCCGAGGAGCAAATATTAGAACCTGCGTCAAACCTATTTTCGAAGAATGCCTCATGATCATCCACTTCAAACTTCTAGAGCAAGAGCGCAAAACGGATAGATGGCGTCATTTTCTCAGCAAAGACCGAGGTTCATGGCACGTCGTAGATTTCGAAGATCGCTAACGAGTGCCCGGTGCAAGTAATGTCAAGTGGAACAAGATGATGTGAGAGTTCAAGAAGTTAAGAGATTTTTCAGCGAGAACGGATAGCTTACCAAGACTAAAAATATCTCTCAAACTGCTGGAAATAGAAGATTTTGTGAACTGATGAAAAATCTGAGTAGTGGAGCGACATTTTGAGATATTTTGTGTGCAATGAAGTGCGTAGATCAGAATATTTATGATGAGTTCAATTATGCGCATGTATTACTAAAGAAATCGGGATCTTGGAACGGCACAGCTCAGACGAAAGCCCCGCTGAGAGTAATCAAGAGAAATGCGTCAACAATGCTTTAATTGCACACATCAGCGTGATCAGAAATCTTGACGTTCGATCTGTCTAACGCGCAAAAACGTCAATTATTGCGTTCAAAGCTGGAGATTGTGCCCTTTGCAGCGATGGACCGAACGCGCCCCACCTCCCTCTCATAGTTCGTGTTTTAACTTACTCACATGAATTATAGAAATGTGCAAATGACTTGTTCAAACATGTAAATGATTAAGACAATTTTTGAACTTTTTAAAGTTCAAATTAGCCTTGTAGAAGAATGCCCGCAAAAGTTTTGTCCCCACTCCCCCCCCCCCCTCACCAAAGGAAATCGTGGGACACCCACTGCCTTTCCATAAGGCCTAGGAAGCAAATTTTTACAATGCATTCAAGTACACTGGATTTCCTTCACTGTTTGATCAAGAACAAATTCCTGCTTTTCCCCCTTTTTGTTGGCCTGCAGTATCCAATGACGTCTACCTTGAAGTGTAGAAAAATTCTATGTTTCTCGGTTGTTATGAAAGCACAGCAAAAGCTTTCCGTGTTCTGCTGCTTGGATCAGGGCCCGGCACGAATTGGTTGGAGCTTTTTTGGAAACGAAGTTCCCCATGACTTCGCGAAAATTTACGAAGTCCCTTTTGACGTGAAAATTAGTGAAAAAACCCTTATTAGATCAAAATAACAGAAAAATAGCAAAAAAAGCGCATTTTGTTTTATTTAGTATAACAAAAAAAAACATTTCGAGTCGATTAAAGGCTCTGCCATTGGATAAAGTACCATTTTAGTGCTCGGAATGTTGAAAACCTCCTAGCCCAACCAAATCTGTGGCCTCAACAATCCAGCGATGCATTTTTCGCCACACAGTTCAAAGGACACCGCGTGTAATTGGAGCGCGATATTTACCAACGCGTAGATTTACGCTATTTGGCTCAAAAAAAGAGGAGAAGCAATGGTTTGACTCGCTCTCTTCACTATATGATAGATTTTTGACCGTTCTAATCGTCCAAATCAAAAAGGGCCAAAACTTATGTGTACTCTCCGATATTTATGCTCCGAACCAACCCAGTTGGTTTGGTGGTTAGTCTATAAACCAACAAATTCGGCAGGGGATATTAGGACACATAAGTTTTTGGAAGTTTTTACATAACATAGTTTGGAGCAATACTGTATACATATAGCCCAAATCTGAAGCCATGTGATTGTTTGTGCGCTGTAAACAAGCCATTTGTTTCTTTGAGCCTTGCGTTTGAAATTCGCGCGCTTGCGAAAGAACACGTTCAACTCGTAAAACCTGACATGTTTATCGTTTTTTTTGGCGCTTCCTCCAGGACCTTATGAAAACGATATCTCCGTTGCCTCTAACTCCAAAAACGAAGTCCAGTTTGACCCCAAACCATCTGTGCCGGGCCCTGGCTTGGATTCTCAACCCACTGGCGACGACACCTAATTCTGCATGGCGGCGCTGTGGGATGACGCGATTTTGCACAACACTTTCGGTTGGGAAAGTTTTGTGATTATTCACGAGATGTAAAGTTGTTTTGTATACAACTCCAATCGTCTTCTTAGGCGACGACGTCCACGATTCCAAGAGAGCAAAAATTTAGAAGAATTGAACTGTGGAAAAAATACTAGACCTGGAAAGCATATGATTTTGCAAGGGCTGTGGGCCACCAGTGGTCCCTATCGCCCCTGGAAGCAAAAAGTGCGTGGGCTACCGGTAGTCCACATCGTCGTCGTCGTCACTGTGTTAATTGGCAGCGTAAACGCCTAGCAATAATTTAGATTGATGTGAGTGACATTTGCGAGTTGATAAAGCCAGACTTATTTTCTTCGTTTATATGTTTTACTCAGAGTCCTTATGAACAAGTAAATATTTCGTTTTTTTTCTTCTTTACCAAAACCTGGAATTAGTGGAAGAATGAGACGTGCTAGGTAAAGCGATAAGTCCTACACTTTATCATACAATGCTGAGACATTCGTAGCCCGTAAAGGCGCATTATGCTGGCTGAGGCCCATATGCACGTACATCCCCGCGGGGAGGGGAGGGGATCTGAGAGGGGAAGCGTCATATTTCGCTACTCTGTATACCTTTCTTCTTCCTTCTTTACCTGTAATATGAAGGTTCTCATACCCTGATATCTAGGCATAATAAATGCCAGGTTACTGCCATACAAGATTAGATTTTAACAAGCTTGGGTGATCCCCTGAAAATCCCCAGGGGATCACCTCTCATTTTCGAAGTCATTTATCTTTCTGAAAACTCCATGAAAATCCCGTAAAGTTGTACTGAGGATATATGTTGCTGCATAAGTTCTGTCCGATTTTTTTTGCCTTGAGTTTGGAGCAGCTGTTCTAAGAAAATTTCATCTCTAATGCGGTATTGTTAATATC